AGACGAAAAAGCGAATACCAAAGGGAAAGTGCTTGCAGCGCTCCATTCCATTTACGATCCATTGGGTTTTAATGTCCCTTCCTTGAATAGAGATAGGTTTTTCCTTCACAAATTGCAATGTGACGCGAACCTGACTTGGGATAAAGTCCTCGATGATGCCAGACGAAAAGAGTGGAAACTTATTGCCAAGCAATTCAACTCTGGGAGAAATCCAAAATATACCTCGTTGCATGGGTAACTACAATTCTACTTACACGATTCTTACCTTCACAGATGCAAGTAGAGATGGTTACGGCTGCGTTACTTACCAGCAGGAGGCCGGAATTGGTCGCCGAAGCTTCCTTGCTGCACGAAATAGTATAGTATAGTATCTTCGGCATTAAAGAATAGGCCTGGATAGGCCTGTCGCCGATTCTTGTACTTTTCTTGACTAGACTGGCCTATTGATGAGATCTTTTCAACGGACGGTAGATTAAAAATCGTTTCTAGATATCAGTTGTTCCGTAGGGTACGAGGCATTTTAAGACTAAACATATGCTCATGCATGGCCTTGTCTAGTCTGTTCTTGAACGCGTTCATACTCGGAGCGTCAACAATATCTTCAGGAAGGCTGTTCCACATGTCAGTGACTCGAAGCGAGAAGAAATGTTGTCGCGTGGTTAAGTTGCACCGCAGTTTTTTTTAGTTTATAGCTGTGGCCCCTGGTGTTGGTTCTTGTTTCAAATTTAAAAACAACCCACACTTTATCTAACTATAACAATTTGGAATTTTGGAATTCATGCAGAATTTGTCACAAATTTTCATAAAACATCGAACGAGTATAAATGCTTGACCAAACCTTCATTACTGCATTACTTCAAACAATAATTAATGCTCTGTGAGTCCGACTTAGCAAAGTCTAATTCTCAGCTCGGTTATTTTTTGTAGAAGGCCGTAGACTGATTTTCGAATAGATAAAACATAGAATAAATTTTCATCTAAATGCATTACCTAAATATTGATCGAAAGGAGGGCTAAATAGTTTCCACGTTGATTAAAATGATTGTATGCTATACTGATTTTTACAATGTGTTCTAAATTCATCTAAAGAAAAGAGCACCTTCTGCCCTCATGTGATGGTGCCCTCATTTTGATGGTGACTCCGAATCTTAATTCCGCACCAAAGTATAGGCAACTCAGACGTCGTCCACCGCATTTAGATTGGGTCTCTACAAACAAAGTTAGCGGAGCCTCACATACACGACATACATACGACATTCACCAGATGCAAACGATCAGTCACATGCAGTCTATACCTAATCATACAGGTGATTTTTTCGTCGCAAGAAAACGATCACTTATTCGCCACATGCGGCCGATCACTTGTTCACCACAAGCAACCGATCACTGATTCGCCACATGCACATTCGCCATACACATACGATCAATTATTCGCCTCGTGCGAGTGATCATTTATTCGCCCTGTGCACATGATTAGTTATTCGCCATATATATACGATCGACTATTCTCCTCCTGCAAACGATAAATTATTTGCCGCAATCGATCAATTATTCGTCAACTATTCGCCACATACAAACGTACACGTTTAACTCTCATTGATGTGCTATTCATATTTTTAAAATGTGTTCTAAATTCATGTAAAGAAAAGAAACTTTTTGCCCTCATGTGTTGATGCCCTCATTTTGATGGTGACTCCGAACCTTAATTCCGCACCAAAGGAGGGGCAACTCAGACGTCGTCCACCGCATCTAGATTGGATCTCTATAAACAAAATTAGCAAAGCCTCACATACACGACATACATACGACATTCACCAGATGCAAAAGATCAGTCACATGCAGGCTATTTCAATCATAAAGATAATTTTTTCGTCACAAGAAAACGATCACTTTTTCGCCACATGCGATCGATCACTTGTTCGCCACATAAAACCGATCACTCACTCGCCACATGCACACGATTAATCGTTCGCCATACACATACGATTGAATATTCGCCACGGGCAAGCGATCACTTATTCGATACGTGTGAGCGATCACATATTCGCCACATGCACACGATTAATTATTCGCCATACACAACAGATGTCATCCACCGCATTTAGATTGGGTCTCTATAAACAAAATAAGCGGAGCCTCACCTACACGACATACATACGACATTCACCAGATGCAAACGATCAGTCACATGCAGGCTATATCAATCATACAGGTAATTTTTTCTTCACAAGAAAACGATCACTTATTCGCCACATGCGAGTGATCACTCATTCGCCACATAAACACTATTACTTATTCGCCATACACATACGATTAATTATTCGCCACGGGCAAGCGATCACTTATTTGCCACGTGTGAGTGATCGCATATTCACCACATGCACACGATTAATTATTCGCCATACACATACGATCAATTATTCGCCACGTGCGAGTGATCACTTATTCGCCATATATATACGATCGACTATTCGCCTCCTGCAAACGATCAATTATTCGCCGCAAACGATCAATAGTTCGTCGACTATTCGCCACATACAAACGTAAACGTATAAGTCTCATTGTATGTGCTATACAAATTTTTAATATGTATTGTAAATACATGTAAAGAAAAAAACACTTTTTGCCCTCATTTTGATGGTGACTCCGAATCTTAATTCCCCATGAAAGGATTGGTAACTCAGACGTCATCCACCGCATTTAGATTGGGTCTCTATAAACAAAATAAGCGGAGCCTCACCTACACGACATACATACGACATTCACCAGATGCAAACGATCAGTCACATGCAGTCTATATCAAATAATACAGGTTATTTTTTCGTCACAAGAAAACGATCACTTATTCGCCACATGCGAACGATCACTTGTTCGCCACAAGCAACCGATCACTGATTCGCCACATGCACACGATTAATTATTAGCCATACACATACGATCAATTATTAGCCATACACATACGATCAATTATTCGCCACGTGCGAGTGATCATTTATTCACCCCGTGCACATGATTAGTTATTCGCCATATATATATCGATCGACTATTCGCCTCCTGCAAACGATAAATTATTCGCCGCAATCGATCAATTATTCGTCAACTATTCGCCACATACAAACGTACACGTTTAACTCTCATTGATGTGCTATTCATATTCTTAAAATGTGTTCTAAATTCATGTAAAGAAAAGAAACTTTTTGCCCTCATGTGATGGTGCCCTCATTTTGATGGTGACTCCGAATCTTAATTCCGCACCAAAGGAGGGGCATCTCAGACGTCGTCCACCGCATTTAGATTGGATCTCTATAAACAAAATTAGCAAAGCCTCACATACACGACATACATACGACATTCACCAGATGCAAAAGATCAGTCACTTGCAGGCCATATCAATCATACAGGTTATTTTTTCGTCACAAGAAAACGATCATTTATTCGCCACATGCGACCGATCACTTGTTCGCCACATAAAACCGATCACTCATTCGCCACATGCACACGATTAATTATTCGCCATGCACATACGATTAATTATTCGCCACGGGCAAGCGATCACTTATTCGCCACGTGTGAGCGATCACATATTCGCCACATGCACACGATTAATTATTCGCCATACACATACGATCAATTATTCGCCACGTGCGAGTGACCGCTCATTCGCCACATGCACACGATTAGTTATTCGCCATATATATACGATCAACTATTCGCCTCCTGCAAACGATCAATTATTCGCCGCAATCGATCAATAATTCGTCAACTATTCGCCAATCAATCAACTATTCGCCACATACAAACGTAAACGTATAACTCTCATTGTATGTGCTATACTAATTTTTAATATGTGTTCTAAATACATGTACAGAAAAAAAAACACTTTTTGCCCTCATTTTGATGATACTCCGAATCTTAATTCCGCACGAAAGGATTGGTAACTCAGATGTCATCCACCGCATTTAGATTGGGTCTCTATAAACAAAATAAGCGGAGCCGCACCTACACGACATACATACGACATTCACCAGATGCAAACGATCAGTCACATGCAGGCTATATCAATCATACAGGTAATTTTTTCGTCACAAGAAAACGATCACTTTTTCGCCACATGCGATCGATTACTCATTCACCACATGCACACGATTAAATATTCGCCATACACATACGATTAATTATTCGCCACGGGCAAGCGATCACTTATTCGCCACGTGTGAGCGATCACATATTCGCCACATGCAACCGCATGTAGATTGAGTCTATATAAACAAAATATCAATAGTTCATGCGAAGACGTAAATTATCAAGGATTGTTTGAATGCTAACATCGCAGCCTCAACAATCTTAGTTCTGTTGGTAATTTCAGGATTGACGTGAAATAATGCGATAATCTGTGAATGTCTGACGGCGAGACGGAATTTTCGAAGCGGTTGGAAACTATCTGGATTCGACAGAAGGAAAACCGAACGTCTCAGGAACAAATTTTACTGCAGGATGAAAGAAGTACACGAATCATAAATATCATTGAGGAATGATAAAGCAGGCGCATGAATAATGTCAGCACACAAATTAAAAACGATAATTACTTCAAAATTTTTTCGAAGCGTACCAATTGCTCTTTCGTGCATTCAACATTAATTTAATTGCAGCTGGCTTCAAAATTCTATGTGAATTGCACGACATCTACAGGAAATGACCTGTATCAAATTCTTTCGCCGATCAACCAACAATTCCAAAACTTTGCTGATTAGAACAATTGTTAAACAGAGTGTTAAAATGGCATTTCAACACCAAGAATATAACATAAACACAAACTCCAGGAAAACCCACCATATCGTTCTAGTTACACTGCATGGCAAAACATCTTGAAAAACGCTTTGGCTAAAGATTTTGGATTGATTTGGTACAGCAGCATTCTCTAAACTGAAGGCAAAATGTCACTAAATACTTCTAACATTGTCGAGATATTAGCATTCATCGTTTCATGTTGACATGCACCTTCACATGCGACGAAACTGTTCAGAGCGCTTGGCATCTTCGTCGTAGTTTCGACTGCGGGTTACGCTACGTTCTCTCCTTGGAGAGTAATCACGTAAGTGTCTTCTTGGTTGGCGCTCGATTGCATTCCACGATTCTACACTCGGCGAATTTCTCCGCGGGCTCATGTGTTGGAAATAACGTTCGTAGCTTCTTCTATTTTCACAGCTTAACAGTCTTTCTTGCGGGCTTATGTGTCTTGAATGCCGCTCATATCGGTTCCCGCGGATATATTCACCGCGATGAGAATTTTTTGGTGGGCTCCTGCTCCTATGACTTGAATTGCGATCAAAACGATTTTCTAGCTCAGATCTTTCAGGCGAATATTCATGTGGACTGTCATACCGCAATCGTCGCTCGCGTGCTCCACGGTCATGTCGCGTAGGTCCATAATACTTATCGCGACATTCAGGTGGCTCGTTTGAAGGTTCTCGAAGACCTGAATCCCGACGCATCCGCTTCCCGTAAGTGCGCTCGGGAGGAACTTCGTCATCAGAGTTTGGCCTTCTCGAAGTACTAGGATGATATTCCCGATGGCTTGCATTTTCAATCTGATTACGATTCCTACGTCGCATTTCAAGATCCGCTTCAACATCCATCCCTGCGTCTTCTCTCTGGAGTGAACGTTCAGGTCTAATGGTTGGAGAGTGGACATGGCGGTCACGATGTCGGCTTCTATCTTCGCTTTTGGTCAACTTTGAAAATCTATCCCGATACTCATCTTCATTACACGCGTTATGTACGTCAGGCCGTCGATTAGAAGGATGAGGCGAGCGCAATCGAGTCCTTACAAGTTCGCTCTCTCTACTTCGGCACGCACCGGTGCCAGACATATATAATTCATCTCTCTCATTTCGCTTACTTGAGCTGTGATGATATCGGAACTTCTGTCTTCGCGCATTTTCATTCGAGTTAACACCTTGTACTTCTTCGTACGGTTGGTTTCTTGTATACTCTGGGCTGCGTGAAAGCGAAGGTGAGTAACGTCTCCTTGAATGCCGTCTCATTCTAGCAGCCTCGCGATCTTCCAGGGCTTGAAGGCGCCTTTCGAGAGCAGCCACTATTTTCAGGTGGACGTCCAAATCAATTGTTTGCTTTTCTTGTTCGCTGGCTTGAGTAGGAGGGTTTTGAACACGACTTTCCGAGTAAACAGGCGCTGTTGCCAGATCATTAATTTTTTCTTTTCTGTCGGGGAATGTCCACTTAGTGTCTATTTTTCCTGATATTGACCTATTTTCTCTAGTGTCATTTCTTTGTACCAATTCAGACCTTCTCGTTTCAACTTTTTCACAGTTCTCATGATCATCGTCATTGAAAGTTACATCAGTCCAAGTATCCACAACTTCAAATGAACATTCGTGTTTGGGCCGAGATGAAGTAGACAACGTTACAGAATTGGCAGGTAGACCTTCAGGTCTTTGAACGGCGTTAGTTACAAGATATGCGGATATGTAGTCAGACTCGACAGCTCTAGAAGCTAGTGAAGAAATTGTTTCAGTTGCAGGGGGAGACGCAATATTATTTGCAAAAGGTTTATCAATGATTTCAACTTCAGCAAATGGTGGATTTGCAGTGACGTCAGCTTCAAGTTGCGATGGAGGTACAGCTGCGTCAGTTGCAACTATAGATGGGGCAACTGCGTCAGCTTCAGGAAAAAGTGGGGATGGAAGATGTTGCAGTGCAGTCCCTTCAGCTTCATCAGTTGATGGAGGCGCAGGTAAGTCAGCAGCAAGATGTGGTGAAAGTCTAGCAATGTTAGGTGAAAGAAGTGATGCAGATGCAGAAAGTAGTGACGGAGGAGTAATGTCGACTTCAGGAAATGGCGAACCTGCCCGAACGCCGGCAGTAAGAAGGGGAGTTGTTCCACGAACATCCGTCGCAAGAACTCTAGATCCCGCTACGTCAGCAACCTTAATCGATAAGCGTGCAGAAACAACAAGTGCTGAAACGTCTGCTTTAAGGATTGGTGGCTCCGGCACGTTTTCTTCTGGAAGATTTGGCGGTGCCGACACGTTTCCTTCTGGAAGTGGTGGCGGTGCCGACAAGTTTCCTTCTGGAAGTGGTGGCGGTTCCGGCACATTTTCTTCTGGAAGAGGTGGCGGTTCCGGCACATTTCCTTCTGGAAGTGGTGGAGGTGCCGACACATTTCCTTCTGGAAGTGGTGGAGGTGCCGACACGTTTCCTTCTGGAAGTCGTGGCGGTTCCGGCAAGTTTCCTTCTGGAAGATGCGGCGGTGCCAACACGTTTCCTTCTGGAAGATATGGCGGTACCGACACGTTTCCTTCTGGAAGAAGTGGCGGTTCCGGCACTTTTCCTTCCGAAAGATGTGGCAGTGCCGAAATGTTTCCTTCCGGAAGAAGTGGCGGTTCCGGCACTTTTCCTTCTGGAAGATGTGGCGGTGCCAACACGTTTCCTTCCGGAAGATGTGGCGGTGCCGACATGTTTCCTTCTGGAAGNCCACTAATGACGCTGTTGCAACACCCCCAAGAAACGATGAAGTTGTCCGCTCACCAGCTGCATAAAAAGAGCTGCAAAGAGACGCAGTGAATTGCGGTATATGTTCGATTCTACTGTTTACCGAACTTTTGCTCGATTTACTGGAGTGGATTGTCGCTGATTTTCCTGACTGTCCCTCCCATAATTGATCTTTTTCTCTAACGGTTGCAATCGAGTCGTAGTTTTGGGTAGTGAAAGCAAGAGCGACGTTGCACACGTCAGCGCTAACAACGTCACTAGGATCAGTCGCAATGACTACCGCAACGTCGTCAGCACCAACGTCAGCACCGTCGCCAACGGGCGGGTTGACAGGAACGTAACCCATCCCCTGAGTAGCAGTTTTCACCCTCCTGCTTGAAGCAAAAATGGACTTAGCACTAAGCCCGGAAGGATCAAAGTTTTTGGAAAGATCTTCATCAGATGACGGGACGGGGATTCTCACTTCAGGCTTCCCCTTGTCAGCATTCTTCATTCCGTAAGAAGTACCTTCAGCGGCATCATTCTTGCTCGGGATTTTCTTTTTCGGGGTCATGCATGCAGTAGTGTCATGATCCCTCAAATTTTCATACTCTTTCTTAGCACATTTAGATAGCCGATCAGCACAAACATAATCCTCTCCATCAATTGTAACGGGCCAAGAACGACTAAATGTTTTAGTCTTCTCAAGAGAATTCCTAAGCAAAGGATTGAGAAAATGTCCACGAGTGAACTCGTCCGGCGACGACTCGCGTCGTCGTGGAGAATCGTATCGCTCTCGTCGTGTGACGTGGTCGGTGACGTGTGCAAAGGCTGCCGGCAAGGGATTCTCATAGCACGACACGTCTTGGTTTTGGGCTTCTTGCTGTATTTGGAAGCTTCTTTCCAATATTCTCTTCTGGTGCTTTAGTTGTGGGAATACGCCTGGCGGGAGAAGCATAACTTTGTTGCGTGATTGTCATATTTATTTCATCACTTTATTCATGTTTTGGAGCTGGTTTATGATTTTAAATTACCTAATGTATGCTACTATTAGAGTTAATAAATAACCGTATATTTTACCTTGACTTTGCAGCAGTGCTTTTTCAGCAGCGTTCATTTCGGCGTCTTGTATTGACTGGCCCTTGCCCACAGCCAGGCGCTTGTTGCGGAAATAGACAGCCACTTTGTAGACGCGGGTGTTGGTTGGACCCTGACTCATGATAACCCTGCAAGTGCTTCAGGGTAAGCAATCTCTTGCATACAACGATGAAAAACGTACTTAAAGGTTTATAAATGCATCGTGACAAGGAATGATTATGGCGTAAGCGAAAGATTTCTGTACGTGCTGACAATGATAAAATTCTTTACGAAATCCTATACGATTTCTGTAACACAAAATTTGATTTAACAGTAATAATCCAGTAAAAAAACGAGTACAAAATAAAAACCCTAGTTGATGACACGAGCTACTGACTTGTATTCAGGAATTTCAGGTTCGGAGCCATCCATGTTACGGAGCGTGAGGCAACACTGCTGCAGTTTGCTCTTGGGATCGTTCCAGTCTTGGTTCAGGATGAACTGATGCAGGCGCGGGAACAAGCACACGTCGCAGAAGCGTCGACAATACAACAATCCCTGCCAGAATTCAATCATAAACTTCTTGGACCAGGCCATAAGGCCGAAAAAAAGGATTCAGAAACTTCACAACAAGTTAGACCCAATTCAGTAATGATAATTATCAATTATCCGACAACACATCCTTACTATTTCTCTATACTACGAGGCAGTTCATGTTGAATCGAATAAAGCTGAAAATAAGCGCTGGAGAACAAAAAGGAATAAAATGTATAAATGACTAATATTTATTGTTATTCTGAGTTATTAACTAACCCTGTCGATGTAGATGGCGCCTACTAAAGCTTCCAGTAGATCTGCTCTGTGCTTCTGGTTGGAAGTGATGTCTGTCTTGCGGTGGTTTGCAAAGCTGGTGAGGTTGAGATCGTCACACACTACAGCCTGAGTTTTATTGTTCACCAAAGATGACCGCAGAAGCTGGAAAAAATGATGCTTACAGAAGAAAGTTTTGGCAACTGAAACATCCAATAGCCAAGCTAAACTAAATAATATTTATGAGGTAAACTTGCATTCAAAGCCACCTACTGCTGAATTAATTCACAACTATACCTTCCAGTGGAATATATTTAGCAAGAGACCTAAAATTGCTTCCAGGTATGTTGCGGAATGTCACATACAACTAAGGAATGTCACATTGACTAAGATCAATGAAGTGAGGCCCATGTTAAAGTTTATTACCGAGAGATGTCCCTCGTGATGGTCTGGGAAGTGTTTGTAAAGGAACTCTGAGCAGACGAGCTGAAGAACCGTGTCGCCGAGGAACTCGAGACGTTGATTGGAGCCCAAAGTGAGGTGGTTGCTGCCAGCGCTGCGGTCCGTGAATGCTCGAGCCAGTATTCTGATGTGCCTGAACTGAATGCCAATGCTATCTTCAAACTCCGTCAGGCGCTGAAAATGACGAGATATAATTAAAGAATGTAATTATTTTTAAAGATTTAGACTACCCTAATATAAAATGTCGCGCGCACGAAACACTGAACAAACTATTGCAAAATTACCTTATTTGCCAAACTCCCATTTCAATCAATGTTGTAATAAAAATCAACCAAATATGTATGCCCAAATTATGACAGCTCATAATTTGGATGGTATTCCCGTTTGCATTGTGAGTATCCATGCCGAAAAAAAATAATAATAAAAAACAGTGACACAGCATAAAAAATCCACTGCGAGCATTAAAATGAGAAGGAACGTACCTGCAGAAATGGATATTTCTCAATCCATTTCCTATCACCAAGAGGTTCTTGCTGCTGCAAAGGATGAGGGGCATAGTCGTGCCAGATTTTCTGCAGCACAGGCTCGTCTTTAAAGAGCGTTCGAGTGAGCACGATGTCAGCTTCCTAAACGGGTATAATAAAGTTAATATGACGATTGGTAAACTAAATTATGCTGCTCGAATAAAATATCAAGTGACACCAACAAGAATAAGTCGAACAACAAGTGATTACCTGAATAGCTAATTACTTAATGGCAATCATGTTTCACTTAGTCTGAATCTGCCACAATCCTGTTCAAATACAATCGTCAATTAAGTTGCGATTAGATTAGGACAACGCGCTTCTTTCATGACCCAAAAGATTATAAAAAATGTAACTCAATATTCACTGCAGAGAGTGACAGAAAGCGCATTTTCCCGTCGACAAAAACGTGAAGTCACGGACGGATAGGACAGACAGACGGACAGACATGGCTAGCACAATAGTGCATTTTATCCGTAAATGAGAAAATGCGCTAAAAAGCAACCACACCAGTACCATTAAAAAGACAACGTGCGAGAATTCCATAATAATGAATATCATGGAAGTTTTGCACATGATTGGATTGCACGCTATTTGAAAATCATGAAATATAAGTAGATAAATTTTTTGCACAATCATTCATCTCAAACAAAGCGTTACGTAATGCGAAACTACATCAAACTAGATTTTACCTACAACCGATTCTATTTCTTCATTTTCAATTCATGACATTAAATCAAAGTAAATTTTACCCCAATATTTGAGTCAAGGAAAATGGCGGCCATGAGAGCCTCGAAGCAGTTGGCCATGGCATGTCGCAGCTCGTAGTCGTGGCAGAGATCTGACCCGTGCGCGTACAGGAGAAACTTGTCTAAATCCAAGCGCTCAGCAAGCACGGCCAGGTGCTGGTTCTGCACCAGCGCCGCTCTGAACAAGTATGAATTAAAAGTATACATTAAAAATATAACTCAGTACTCACGGCAGTGAGTGACAGAGAGCGCATTTTCTCGTGCATAAATCAGTTTTCATTGCGATTAGTACAGTGTATTAGAGCAAGAGATGTCGTATCTTTGATACAGGCATGCCCGCTTCTTAAAATCGACAAAAACGTGAAGTCACGGACGGACAGGCAGACAGACGGACATGGCGAGCACTATAGTGCATTTTTTCTATAAAGAGAAAATGTGCTAAAAATGGTGGCTCAATTGACGCAATAATCCCTCTTTCTGACAAAAAGTTCTCACTAAGCGGGTGAGTAGAAACGCCAAGTCATGTGACGATATGGAAAAGTGACGGACAAAATCGCAATAAACGTACTTATTTTAAAGTTTACAGAGGGAGTAGTAACACCAACATCAAAGGTGCAATAATTCATCGCTAGGTTGAATTCTTGAGCAATGCCTGTGATGCACGCATTTGATTGTATATCCGCTCACCCGTGACGGAGATCAGGCAACGATGTGGTTGTGACATCACAAATCTTTAAATCAGTTATGAAGAAGAAATCCTCTCACCTGTAGGTAGCCAGTCCACCCTCCTCCATGTCCGGGAAGACATGGTACAGGTGAATTGAAGTCAGGAACTCGACGACGGCATCTCCTAAGAATTCCAGTCTTTCGTAGTGCATGATTTGACTGTTGGTTTCATCGTCGCGGCCGAATCGAGCCATGATGTTGATTAGGGTGTTGATTCCTGGAAAAAAATTCATGTCAGGTGGACATTGGAAATAAATTAACTTGACACATTAAAGCAGTAAGATTTTAATAAACCAGGTAAATTTATATTAAATGATCAACACTCATGATGTCTTAATAAGGCAAGAAAATGCTTCATTTTCACGTCGAATATTTGAACGTCTGTTGTCTGTACATTTTACTGTTTACGCTTCATGAAAATTTAATGAAAAATTCATTGAATCTGAGTAACAGGTTGCATTAATTATAAGCTTAAAGTCATGTTTTGTTATGTCACTATTGAATTCTGAAATTTGAGCACACAAACTTAAACGATGAAATGTCGCTTGGTGCCAGGGATTGTTCAACTTATAATTTAGCACATAACCCCTTCTCGAGCGAGACATTAGCACAGCTATCTATGAAATTTACGATAAAAATCACTAATTAAGTCTATATATTGAGATAACGTAAAAAGCAATAGATAATTAAGACCAAATATGACCAAATGTAGATGGAACGTTTTAAATGCTTAGCACATAATGGAAGGTTGAGGATTGAGAGATAATCGTGTGGAACATTTTGCATTAATTTCTCGGTACTATCTTCAAGATGGTTGGTCAGTATTGACACATGCCTCTCTTCCTGGTGTTCATGTGCAATACTCTGCGGTCGCCATACTCGGGTTGTCTCACACCGCAGTTGGTCAGAGAGTTGCGCACGTGGTCAGGATTCGTCCCGAAATTCTCCCTGTAAAGTGAATGTCGTCAAAATAAGGCAATAGGGAATGGTGGCGGTCATTATTTTGGAAGAAATTATAATTTGCAGTCACATTGTGACAAAATGATGGTCAATTGTCACATCTGAAATTTGCCGACAAAATATTACGAGCTGAAAAGCGACCTTTGCTACAATAGTGATAACCAATAGTTCATCGATTCATTTTACTAAACATAATTATTGGATTCTCGTGTTAATTAAGATCCGAGTATCTATTAACTGTAGTTCACTTTGATTTTCCCTGGAAGAAGACGGATACTCACCTGAATGAAGGATGAGTGAGGGCCAGTTGCAGTAAGTATTTATCCTTGAATTCGTAGCCAATGTTTTGTTGAAGCATAGCCACTGATCTGTGGAAGCGTAGGTGGCACACGAGCACTGGCATCAGCAACGCGTGCTGAAAAAACGGATAAAAACAATTAAATTGAGCTCAATGCGCCAAACTCCGAAAACGTATAATAACTGATAAAAAAGCTGAATGTGAAAGCCAATGCGGCGTAAATGGTCAATGATGAAACACTTAGCATATCGATATAAGGAAGACCTAAAAACGTTCGTAAATTTTATTGCGTATTAATGTAACTGAAATTGAGATACAATGCAAGATTAGGCATTGAAATTGGTGATTAGAATTACGTGTAGGTTCTGAATTGCAGACGTAACTTATAACTAAGAGGTTAGATTAACACATGAATAGGGCCTAGAGGCACAGGCATACGTTCTATGTAAGTCGATAAAATTAGCTTGTACAAAGGCTGCTACCACAATCCAGCAAATTATCTTCGCCCCCTATTTAACACGTTTTTCTTAGCTTCGCGTTTGTTTGNTACCACAATCCAGCAAATTATCTTCGCCCCCTATTTTGATAATGTACATATTAAAGCCAGACAAGATAATAGGATTTTCGTTGAACGCTAGTTTACCTGCACCATGTCGCTCATGATGCCTGTTCTTACCTGCACCATGTCGCTCATGATGCCCGTTCTTACCTGCACCATGTCGCTCATGATGCCCGTTCTAACCTGCACCATGTCGCTCATGATGCCAGTTCTTACCTGCACCATGTCGCCCATGATGCGCGTTCTTACCTGCACCATGTCGCTCATGATGCCCGTTCTTACCTGCACCATGTCGCTCATAATGCGCGTTCTTACCTGCACCATGTCGCCCATGATGCGCGTTCTTACCTGCACCATGTCGCTCATGATGCCTGTTCTTACCTGTACCATGTCGCTCATGATGCCAGTTCTGATGAAGCCTTCCGAAGACACGGCCACGGTGACGTCCCTCTTCTTATCAGAACTGGTGCGCATGGCTCGCAGTTTCATGTCTTGGGACATGAGACGAGCTTTGTTCTCGGCCGTTGGACGGGCCATGTTTGCAACCAAGTGTCGGAGCTTGACGTATTCCCGCCAAACTTTCTGATATCTGTGAGATGTTTCAATGAAGTAATAGAATTGAGCTGCAACGAATAAATTACGGTTGGATGCTTAAAATATGCATCAATAGGATTAACTTGTCAGAATGTGAATGAATTGACCAGCCAAAAATTACGGAGAATAAAAACACATAGAATGATGATAAACAGCGATTGAATACTTCAAAACTGGTACATGTAATAATATACGTTTAAAAAATACTTTTTAAAAAAACGCTTCCAAAGAATCCAGTGTCTCCAATGTTAAAGATGTAAGACAAATTTCTCATTTTATTTTCGAATACTACAAAAATTAATTTTTCACTTTTTTTAATATATAAAATTTTCTTACAAAATTATTTATTCTGTCAATTGATTCATGCATTGCCTCCGACTTCACACAAGTGTGCAAAATTTCAGATCAATTGGACAGGTAAAAGTGTGTCAAATATCAGTTATAAGATTTGTAGCTGACAAAATTATTTTTTCAATATTGAAGAAAAATTTTCTTTTATCTTTAAAATTATTTATGTTGTCATTTGATTCATGCACCGTCTCCAACTTTACGCAAGTGTGCAAAATTTCAGATCGATAGGATAAGTAGAAGTGTGTTAAATTTTGATTATTAAATTTGTAGCAGGCAGACAGACAGACAAACAAGAAGTGAAGTTAAAGAGAAGTGTTGTAAAAAGCGATACGTCAGTTTTGGATGAAGCGAGACCTATTAACACCAAATGATCAACTAGAGGCAGAAATCTAGAACTTTAGAGTAATGTATAGATTTGATCTTGTATCTCAAATGTCCTTAATCCAATAACACATGATACATAACTCACTCAGGATTGCCAGCGTATGAGAGACGTGAAGGTCTGATAGCAAAATGAACAATGATTGGAAAACGGAGCATTTCATTTTCTGAATTTTCTCTAGTGTTGGGTTCAGAGGAAATTTCATGATCACCCAAGGGAAGGCTTTGATGTAGCATCAATGATTCAGTGGACCGGGAAATATGAGATCTCTCTTGGCGTTGCTGTTGACGCTCAACTCGCGTCACAGACCGAACCCTACTTTGGTCACGGTCGCCATAACGGTCTTCTGTCGTTTGATGTCGTGAACTTTTACGAGTCCAAAGAACATCTTTTCCAAGGGAGTCATCGCGTCTTGAGTAATAATCATCGTCATACGATTGGCTATTTGACCTGAAGTTCATGTGCCTTCCAGGATACAGGTTCTCTGTGCCAAAAGAGAGACGCTCATGGACAGAAATTCTTGCATTCCTCGTTGAACTTTCTTCTCTAGTTTTCCTATTCAATTCGTGGGAGTCTCTCGATCTGCTTCTGCATTGGCCCTTTCTCTGGTCAAATTCAGTATGATCTCTTTTAGGTGAACGGCGATTATGTTCATGCCGTGACGTGCGCGTACCAGCAGCTGAGTTACGAGTGCTCGTTTCACCGTCGTGACCAAATTCTAGGCTTTTATCCACAGAGTCAAGCCGATATCTTTTACTGGCAGCATGTCTGTCCTGATCATCACGTCTGCCATCAAACTCATGATTTTCTCGCCATTCGTCGCAACGATCTCGTCTATTTCGAGGATCTTTTATACGCGAAGCAGACTGGCTACGACGATAATCTCGTTCGTCTAAGTCACAATTTTCCATTCCAACTTCATATTTCAAAGAAGTTGAAGTTCGATGTCGAGAATTCATGTTACCAGGCTTTTCATATTGCTTGTAGAGCTCAGGTTCATTTGAACGACTACGGCAGGAATTACTTTCGCGTTCACTAGAAAGTCTTTTAACCGCTGGTCGCTGCTTTTGTAGATGATCAATGTTATCTTGAAAATACGAGCGAGAGTGAGAGGAAGACCGCGAAATGCGAAGTTCTTGCTCCTTTGCATCTCTTTTCTGAGAGTATTTAGGTTCTTCTCCATTAGAGCCTACGAGCGGTTCTCTGTCAAGCTGGTCAACGCGCAGAGAACATGGCTTCATCCCAGGGTTGCACACGATCATACCTGAAAAGTGGGGATCAGAGATCAGCAGTTAAACTAGAAAATATTGACCGATGAAATGAAATTAGAGAAGTCATGTATGTAACATAGGAATGAAATGATCAGCAAGTAAAATTTAACATATTGATATATGATAAAAATACTAATAATAAAGAAGTTGGAAAGAAAGCAAGGCTACTCAATTCTCCAAAAGTTGAAACAAAACATCAGATGCTATTTACCTTTGAGAGTGTCAACGGAATCTAACCACTCCTTCTGCGACATGGAAATGACATCGCGTAAGTTATTCTTGTCAACAAGAGGGATAGATGACTGCAACAAGTAACGCAATACCTCCGTCATGGCAAGAATTTCTGTTCCATTGTCTGAAAATATAAAAGAGTCGTAATTAATATATAAATACAACAATATGGCACATTTGCAAATTTCATTTCTAAATAATTGTAAATAAATAATTCATTTCTCATAGATTGAAATGAATATTAAAATAGACTATAATCTTATTTTCTAGATTCCAGAATGTAGATAATGTTACATCAGTTTTTTAGGAAGTTTCCATGAATTTAAATACATATTTTGTTGATTTACTGGATATTCCCCATAGCTTTCCGTATTTTGTATACATCACCATAAAATTTTTGTAAATTTTTAATCATCTTCACACACAATAAAATTTTTTATTTAATATTTCACATGTGTTCCAAATAACCTCACTTTCCATATACGTTTAATAGAAATTTAATAAGGTTCTCCATCACTCCATCATACATACTTCATTATGATGCGTCGCACGTTAATGTATAAATGCAATGTATTCCAGCTCAAGCTTCACACCGTATTAAGATAACAAAAATTTGAGAGACTTGAGATTTTGACGGACACAAGAACACAAAATACATTAGAAACAACTCAAAAATGGTTACCAATTTTAAATCCCCAAGATTTCGCAGATCTATCGCCATGCTAATGATTTTGAATGGTTATATGGAGTAAATCAGGCATTCTTTATAGTGGACAAAACAAGGTTTGCATTTCGATACTTCGCAATTGAATCAACACAGGAAGAAATGTATTATTAAACGCTAACACGTTGACTCAGATTGCTTCATCTTGTACTATTATTTAATTTTATACTATTATGAAATAGGTACTACACAAATTGAGGATTTATAACGATTTTTCATTGGTCCTTACTCCTAAGCATTCCACAGCCAGAATAATATGTAAAATGTCTTAATGTCTTAATAAATCCGAACTACATAGCACGGTAAAATTTATTTTAAAAAAGCATTAAAATAATTGAAATGTGACATATATGTACCACTTCGGAGTCAAATTCCAATTGACCAATTTGCGTGGAGACTGGTACGTTATTTGACGAAGTTGCATAGTGCCTGATATTAAAACGCATTGACGAGGCTGTTTAGCGCCTGACATTTAAACACTAATCCAGGAAGTTGCATAGTGATACTGAAACATTACCTAACGCAGTTGTATTGTGCCTGATATTGAAACGCTAATAAATAATACCGGGCAGCTGGCGTACGAAGCGAGGCAACAGATGAAACATGGGGCAGCCTGATGTATCTCCCCGAGGTCGTAGGTCCAAATCCACAAGCTCCAGAATTTCCTTGAATAGGTATTCGTCTGCAAGCACCAAAGTATTCTTTAATGATTAATATATATATATAAACACATGAGATGATAAATACAGGATTGGCTAACTTAACATGTGAAAACTTGGCAAATTAATTACTGCAGAACAGCAGTTAAAAAAATCAATTTTTGTGATCAATATTCAATAGGATATATTGAAATTTATAATGAATCTGAAATGATTGATTTTCTTATAGCAAAATAAAGAACTAACAGAAGAGATCAAGTTCTCGGATGCAGAAGTTGTCGAGCATCTCCTGAGGCTCGTGTCCAACACAGTAGTGAATATTGAAGCGGATCACACGGCACACCGGCACGTCTACTAGACGCTCGTGGCTCAGAAGCGAGAAGCCTTCAAATATGTACTCGTGTCCATCATACTTGATGTGTGTTGGAGTTTTGATCTGTGAACGAATCGGGGGGTTGAATTAGTAATGAAAGATGTCTTCCTAGAATCAAACAAAACTAGAATTAAGGAACGATTTTAGGATTATGCTAATCTCTAATCCAATTTACATTGATTAAAATTTTAACAACTCTATTGTCTGACAGCAATTCAAGAAAATGTATTTATAATAATAATTTATCAAATAAAATATGCAAGTATGAAAATATTGAGCATAATAAATATTTTAAACTAGAAATGGAAGTCAAACGATTTTTATTAATTAATTTTTTACGATCAGAATAACTTCTAAATTAAAAAACTTTTGGTGTCATCAAATTTACTCACAATGAAGTTGGTCGCCGGAGCGATGGTGACACGGTAGTGATGAAGGCGATCAGCGTTGTTGGTCCAAGGATCACAAGCTGGCACGGTACTTTCACCTACGTAATAACCGTGTCTGATGCCACTGCGTTTGGCGCGCGCTTTGCATAAGCACAGCGGGCCAGTGTTTATCTGTATGAAATGTTAAAAGATATAAGATTGTTTTGAAATACATCTATCGATTTAATTCAAGCCTTCGCGCTAAACATTTCAATATAAATCTTCATCAATATAACCAAAATTTCGTGGCATTGTAACCAGCATTTGAAGGTTAAAAATACACATAAAATGAAATTCTGTTACAGTTGTCTAGCATTTGAGGATGCTTTATCACATGTAAATAGAAAAATATACATTTAAAGAAGCAATTTCAATTATGTAAATAATTATTTAATTACCTCGCCAGGATCATTGTGCCACAGCTCGGGATGCAGACGTAGTGGATGATTCCTCTTCCTCTCCAACTCAAGATGGGACCGTTCACCAAAAGGGTGCTCATTTTCTTCACAGTCTGTGCTTGAGTCTGAGTTACTGTCACTGCTGCTACTTTTATTTCCACAGCACATGCCATTAGATCGCTTTTCTCGACCAGTTTTTTTCAGTGATCTATTTTTTTTCTTACGAGTTCGTTGCCTGCTAGCATCAGAATCACTTGAGCTGCTAGTGTTGCTTTCACTCGAGTTCTTCCTATTTTTATGCCCATCGCGTCTCTCGGTAATTTGGCCCAACGTCTGTGGATCAGTTGTTGGCGATGTAGAGGTTGATGAAGCTTTGTTATTAGTAGAGGCACAAGGCGATGGATCCATGACAGTCTTCATTTTATGGCCATCATGGCAACATTGCGAGTTTTGAACATTGAATTCTTTGGCAAATTTGTCTCGCGCTCTCTTTCCTCTGTCCACCAGTTTTACTTGAAACTCTTGGCAGATCTTCTTAGCGCGATTCGTGGCTCGAGTGAATTGTGCACTGCAAAAAATATAGATAAAATCAGTAGGTTAGGATAAAAAGGGAGCTTGCGATGACCTATTCAAAACCTATTCATAAAGTTTTATTCTTGCAAATCAAATATACATCAAAGTAGCTCATTCTGACACCAAATTCATCACAGAGATAACAATTTAAAAAATCATGTTACTTTCAGAATAGAACGTATTTCAAAAAGATAATTAACATGATAACTTACCTCTCATCCTGAACATAATACAAGTCTGCAGGGGATGAACGTGTCCATTTAGGAATGGAGCTATCATCATCAACCTTTGAATCGTTTTCTAGGATATTTGTTTCTGCTTCAGAAAGATCGATATCTAGAACATCCATGAGATTTTCAACAGGGCTGTCAGTCCCCATCTGTTTGGCATTTTCTCTTGGGCTAGCATTATCATTTTTTGCTTTTCTAATATGAAATTCTTCTAGAGATGATTCATGCTGTGAAATTGGGTCACAAAGAAGTGTTTTCTTCCCTTTTTCTGAAGACACCTGTCTACTTGATTTTTTGCGATGGAATTTAGAATTAAAATTTTCACCCTTTTCAAATTCACATTCACTGAACGTTGGGCTTGGATTATACTTGGCACCTGTACTTATCCTTTTGGATTTACTTGAATAATGTGTCTCACTAATCTTATGTCTTTTACTAGGAGGTTCTAACAAATTCCTCAAAGTTGATGGCACTTGATCATTTTCTCTTTGTTTTCTGACTGAAATCCGACCTTCAAAAGCATCGTGATGCATATCATCACTAGTTCTTTTCTTCCTGTATGAACTATTTTCCAAGTCACTCCCTGGAGCCATTGGGGGCGATTGGCCACGTTTCATACTTCCAGAAGAATCAGCCATTTCTTCAGAATTGCATCGAAATTTAGAAAAAACATGTTCCTGCTTCTTTGGATGGCGAATGTGAGAATTTTGCAAAACTTTGTAACTTACAAAGTCTTCGGATTTATCTGACCTAGAATAGGAATAATGCGATTAAAGAAGGACTTATGATGTACACATATATACTCAATTATAAATAAAACTGTGGCAACTGTCACATTTGTTTAACTATGTACTAAGGAAATTATATGCATGTCATAATGTCAATATGTTCAGTGTAAATTTTCAAGCAATCATACCTTGTACTATCACTCTTGTGAGAACGTCTGGTTGATGCACCATGCACGTTGCTCCTTGCGGTGTCAGATAAGTGCCTTTGTTCCCGTGGAATTCTTCCCTTAGGAAAACATTCTTGATGGTAGTCCTCGTTTGCATCAGATAAATTGGATTCTACTGGAGTTTTCCGACAAGACCGTTTTTGCAGACTCTTTTCAGAATGATGAGATTTGCGTGTTTTACTATGTGCAGTTGCGCGAGAGATTTTCTCATGGCCCTTAGGGGAAGTATTGTGAAGGCTTCTGTGAGTGTTGCTTTTATGTAATTTATCAACCTTCCTCTTCCTTTGTGACACAGAATTGTCTCTCAAATTGGAAGATGAGGAATTGTTTGAAGGAAAATCAGACCTATGTTGTGATTCGCATGGATAGTAATTTTGTTTATCTTGGGATGACCAAGAAGTGGGAGCACTGTCTCTTTGGAGGACATACTCACAAGACTCCATTGGGTTTGGTGGTACATGTGAAGGAAGAAAATCACCAGACGACCAATTTTGTGAATTATACACTACTTGAGAAGGGACTGTAGGTGGAAAATTTGATGCATTGAACTGATCTCCAACATCAGTTGCATTGGATGATGTAGAAAATGCATAACTGCAATATGCTGCGGATACATATGAAGCTTCAGGCGTCTGCGTATTAGGCAAGATGCTTTTGATGGCTGATCCATTGTGACCAGAAAAGTCTGAATTGCTTGGCTCATAGATGGCAGGGTAATTAGGCTGTGTTGGGTGCTCAAATTTCTCCTCCACTCCATGCTGCACTGTCAGCTGACTACCAATAACAGGAATGGCATAAGTTTCCTGATGCAAGTTACCAGGCATGATATCATGTTCCAAGAATGGATTATAATTTAATCCAACACTCAAGCATGTGATTTTATCTACTCCTGCAAAAAAAAAGAAACTATACAATCCAGTTCCAATCTGAAAAAGTGAAAGTGGTTACACAATTTCATTCTCTTTGAATTTATTCATGCGGTAATTTAATGAACATCCTTTCTTCTATCTCTTGACATCCTCTCAATTACAAACGTAATAAAACATCCTTATTGAATAATTTAAATACTATACTTTTTGTCACTATAGGAAATTGAGGTATTTAACTAGAATTCTGCTCTCACTACAATCCTGTCATCATCTGATGATCATCAACAATAGTTTTATACAAAAGTTCAAAATACCAAGTTCACAACTTCAACTTTGATCTTGCAGCACATAAGTGATTCAAAAATGTACCATTCACCCTATGTTGCAGCACAAATTTTTTTACCCTAAAATTTGATTACCATCAAACAGGGTATTAATAAGGGATGGGTGGGGTAAATTGAGACAGTCATCCCACATTTTGTAGAAATGTTGTAGCAGCTAAACTAATCAAAATATTGCAAAACTAAAAATAGAGGAGTAAAGTTCAACATTTTTACCATCTTTGTAGCATAAAGCAAGGTTAGAAATCATACATTTACAACCTCTAAAAAATCAGTGGAAAAAGTTGGAGAAGTGAGATTTTGGAAAACAACCTCTGCTGAGGTCTGAAGCCGAAAAAAATGTTCACTGTATAAAAAAAAATTTTACTAACATAAAAGTTGCACACAGGTGTTGGCTTAAAAAATGTGATTGACTGAATTTGCATCTTGGTCCAAAAAAAAATTGCGGCCATTTCCGCAACACGGGGTAATAAGGGACACCCGTAAAAATGCATTTACAGTGGAACTTTGATTAGCAAAGGCTCCAGTTAACCAAAATATCAATTACCAACAAAAAATTTTGATTATATTTACCTAGCTTAGCAATAACAAATTTTTCTTGATGAAAATTTGATACATCATTGGTCATCACAAAATTGTGCAGAAAATGTCATAGCTAAAATTGTGCACTGGGCAACATAAAATGAATAGTTATTAACCCAAACTATGACATATTTCTCCAAAAAATATGATGGTTGTCACTAGAATATTCCATTCTGTTTCAGGTATGTTTTTTACGATATTTTATTGTTATAGTGAATTCACTTGACTCGATTAAAATGGTGCAAACTTACAGGTCATCCTGCAAGCTTACAGATACAGAAAAGTGATACAGATACAGAAAATTGCAAGCTTACAGATACAGCTGCTGATATGAAGCTTGCAGTGGACAAGGTCATTATAAATGCTCAATGGCATGTTCATGGATACAGTAATATCACATCAAAAATACAGTAATGAAGGTATTGATACGGTAATATCATACCAATAAAGAAAAACAAAGAAAACGCACAGAAAATGTCATTTATTCTACATCTACAGCATCATCATATCATCTACAAAGGAAAAGGTGGACTTCAGATTACTGTTAGTAATAGAGTAATGTTAGAGCAGAGTACACTCTGCAAGCTTCAAGCGTTTTGAAATCAAGTTTTATTTCAAGTGTACCAGATTACCCTGTTCCCAGGGGTAATTCAGGATGCTATTATTTTGCATCTGGCACCTTACAAATAGCATATGGAATTTTTTTGAAGATGCCATAGGATAGCCCTTGCAAAGCGCTAGGTACGTATAAAATGAGCCTAAACTTGTATATGAAATGTTTCATGCTAAGAATTTATTAACAAAAAATGCTCAAAACCGTCCCTTATTACCCTGTTTGATGGTATCTACTATTGGTAAAATTTCAGACATGAAATTTTTTGAGTTAAATTACCACATAAAAATGGCACTGTCCTAATTCAATTGTTTATTGAATGCAAAATTTAACTCTACATTTGATTTCAGACCACAGAATTAATATTATTGACAATTTCATGATTACTCTTCTCAATACATCAAATTTAACTGATGAGACCATGGGGATGGGGCCAGGGGTCGAACTGTTGAGTTTAGACCATTACAACTTGCAAGAGGGGCCCAAGGGCCAAGGGCATGGGGCCATGCGAAGGGTTAAGACCAACGCACGGCGGTGGACCAATAAGTATTCACAATAATTCCCTGCCAGGCTGCCACCAAGGTCCCAACCCAATTTACCCTGCCTGAGTGCCTGTCCCTTATTAGTTATTATCCTCAAAACCCATTAGCCATTACCCTGTTTGTTGGCATTATGGCATATCAGAAATCAGGCCACAACAAGACATTTTTAATATGATAATATAACAAATTAACAATGTTATGAATATATCAACGATCACTATAATTTCAAAAATTATTGTTGATCGGCATTGAAACTATTTTCAATATTTTTTCAAAACACCTGATCACCTCTATTGCCTCAATTCCAGGGGACAGGGTGTGTCATTCTCCAAACCCAAATAACCTACCTACCGTAGCCATAAGCCAATGATGGGAACCTGGGAAATAATGGGCATTAACCATTGTTGTGACCAATGGAGACTGAAGAAAATTCCAATTCTACCTAAATATCTAACTACTAACGTACAATAGACTAAAATATAGAATTAGACTAAAAAAATTAATTTCTGGAAATAGTTTTCGCATATTGCTTACACACTCCGCCTGCGACCGCAGCTCCAACCGGAACTCCATGAATGCGGAGTGTGGACTACGGATTTTGCAACACAAACTCTTCCAGATTCTAGTCGAGAAAACGTCTTTTTTAGCATTTAATATATGCACGTTTCTTGATGTTGCGATAATTTTTTATATTGTTTTTTTTTCTATAATGCCGTTAGCTATAATCGTTTGAATTATCATACGATAATTCAAACGTATGTATAAACCCTGTCTCTTATACACATCTAGATGTGTATAAGAGACAGGTCTAGCACAACGTTACCATCTAAACCAAAACCCCTATCCAAAATTCTGGAATGACTACCACAATAGGGCTCAACATGCCGCAGAATCCCATCAGACGTGCTGATTGCCCAAAGCTTGAACCCAAATCTCACTGGTTTTCCTCTAATATACTGCTTATCACCATGTCTTCCATAATATGGAACCATTATTTCATCAACGCTGTAGTATTCACAACATTTCTCATCTTTGATAGCATTGTTCAAGTGTTCAAAAAGCGGACGCACCTTGTAGAATCGATCGTCATTCATTTTCGTATTATCGTTGAAGTGCAAGCATCTCATTATTTGATCAAAGGCATCCCGTCTCATTGCATTCATAACAAATTTATTTTGAGTGTCAGGTAACTCACTCCAATACAGTCTCCTGTGAGGAACCTTATTGTACCCTGAGAGAATAAGAATGGCCAAAAATACCTTCATGTTTTTGGCATTTACATCGCTACAAGGGATTCCTTTCTGATGAGCGTAGTTTCTACTTTGTTCACATAAAAATTCAATATAATCTTGTGTCCAAAATTGTTCCTCAAAAATCTCCAATGGATTTGTTTCAGCGGCGTTGACTAACTGTTCCTCAGGTGCATCGCTAAAATCCGGTACTAGATTTTCAATCTTGCTTTTATCTGTATGCCACGTGTAGATCATCCTTTTTCGACGTTTTGATCCATGGCTGGTAGATGTTGAGGTTGGATTAGATACAATTTCGAGTTGACCGTTATTTACAGATTTATATAGAACATTAGCTAGCAAAATTCTCCTCGGAAGGTGCTTGGGATCGCACATAACTTCATCATCTGATGCATCACTGTCATGATCTGTTGCAGCTTCAGGCGTTTCTTCTGGGGGCTCTATTGCTACTTTGACTTCAAATTGGTCGTCTGCATCTTCTTGCAATGAGAAGAAGTCATGAATTTCATCTAGAGACAACCTGGAATAAGAGTTAAACAAATGAATACTAATTTTCCGTTGGTATCTGGAAAAAGGGTGGTTCCCTACTTTTATATCCGAGTGGCAAGTACACTTGCCACATATATTCACGTCACAATATAGTAGTCATATTATATAAGAATAAAAAAATTGCATATATATATCATTAGGACATTTGTTTAAGAAAACTGTTCACTATAGTAGTGAGTTCTAACTTGCTGACACAAGTGACAACCTACATTGTTTTATGACGTAGTAGCGCCATGACTCACACCATCAAATTCCAAGGCCAACTGAGCAGGCATGAAGCGCCTGACGCCGCTGTTGCTCGTTCAGAACGCGTTCGGTACTCGTCTTGTTACCGTGAGACTCCATTTCAAACCTCAACTTTCGTTGTTTTGTAGTAATTTCATTTTTCGCAAGTGGCAAGTGTACTTGCCAAGCGGCGTTAATGGGTTAAGGGTAGGTCGCAAATTTTTTTCCCGCATTAATCAAAACCGCGGTATTCAAAACCGTGCTAATCAAGGGATTGCTGTATAGCATTCTATGTACAATTTTGTGATGACCGATGATGCACTAATTTTTTGACAAGTGAATTTTTTTTTTCGCTGAGCAAGGTGAATGTAATCAAAATTCTTTGTTGTTAATCATTTTTTTTGTTAACTGGAATCTTTGCTAACTGAGGTTCTACTGTAAATGCATTTTTAAGGGTGCCCCTAATTACCCCGGAGGGGGGGTGTCCCGAGTAGCCCCGCCATGTGGAAATGGCTGCCATTTTTTTTTGGAATGAGATAGGCAAATTCCGTCAATTACGTTTTCAAGCCAACACCTGGGTGCAACTTTTATGTAAGTGAAATATTTTAATATGGCAAATATTTTTTTTTTTGCTCCAGACCTTAGCAGAAGTACTTTTTCAAAATCGCACTTTTTACACTTTTTTTTCAGCAATTTTTTAGAGATAGTAAATGTTTGATTTCTTGACTAGCTTTATACATAATAGATAGTAAAAATGTTGAACTTTACGCCACTATTTTTAGTTTTGTAATATTTTGATTAGTTTAGCTGCTACAACATTTCTATGAAATGTGGGACGCACGTCCCGATTTACCCCGCCCGTCCCTTTTTACCCCGTTTGACAGTATACCAATTAGAGATTTGGGGTAACATGTGTATGGGACTTTGTAAACAAGTTCAC